AAGATATTAATTTTATGACCATTGTACATAGATATATAATGAAATCTTGGGAGACAAATTAATAAATGGTGACCCTTCGGTGTTGCATTTGTACATATATGTCAACATAGAGTGCACTCTAAATCATAGAATCACTGTGAAGTTGGATACACACACACGCGCGCGCACACACACACACACACACACACACACACACTTCGGAATACATCACCTTCCCTTGGTGAATGACTGTTCAACTACCTATAAGCTATGTAATGCCATACGTTATGAGAATAATGAATATGACCATTAGTTACAACGTCTTCATCCCACAATGCATGTATGTGGGTACACATTCTGAGCACATTCTAACATTTCGACATGTCTACCACTAACATACTTTGAACAAACATATATATTACCCAGGTTCTGTTGGAAACAAACTTTGTCTAGAAAGGATAGTTCAAGACGTATGTTTTTGTGTCACTGATTTCAAACGGTAATATCGTTGCATGTTTGGTGTTGTCACACTTGTAAGCCTTAAAAGACATATACAGTACATATTACAATTGAATCTGTTATAACCAATATGTCCATGTTTTCATTACAAACCATCCGATACTACAAGTTTGTATTAACGTTTGGAATCCATAATGAGTCAAGATATTCAATGTTTACAGTTTAATGTTTCGCTTTACATTCAGTAATGGTTTTCATTACGCAATATATTGGTTCGAAAATATTCCAAACTCTACAGAAAATACGACAAATACCTTTCCACAATCATAAGAAATCTCTGCTAAAAGCAGCCTCTGTTGTACAATTCCGATCGGATCATATGCATCTGTTTATGAAACACTTCCAAATAGTGATGGTCAGCTGTTCTTAAAAACACGGGAACATATTACAAATGTGACAATAAGGACATTTCAAGAGACATCATTTTTTTACTTTTTCATCCTATCTCCACATGTCTACCATGAAAGAAAATGTTTAAAAATGAATTATTTCTCGGCTTTTTGTAAATTAATACAAATAGACCACAGTTGATCATGATGATCTGCAGCTATTATATTCCCATCGTTCCTGTCATCCTCATCAAGGGTCCCCCATTCAAACATCCATCAAATATCATTCAACAAAGTATTGAACAAACTACGTAATTAAACTGCACTAAAACTAAACTCAATAAAATGGTGCTTGGTTTTAATGATATTCAGCATTGCTTCAATGATAATACTCAATAATTATTTCATCTGGATGAAAACGTACTAAATAAATGCTATGACTATAAGCTACATTTGAACATACACAGGTCACAACGGAATGTAACGAACCTAATTTCAATAAACCAATCAAAATCCCAATAACAGGGCACAGCATGTGTCAAACACCCTTTTGTGGTTCCTCTATAATTATAAGCCCATCAGAAAGCAAACCCACCTGCCAAAGTACCAATTACCCTTCAATCCAATCATCAAAACATATAGGTACATTCTGTATTGACTGACTTCTTCAAAAAGCATCACACAAACACACGTCCTACTTACAGTACTAGCCAGACCCCTTACATCCGCCCAGCAGTCAACATGACGCCAAGGCATTAAATGCTTAGCTTTAATGATACGGACAGACATCCAACCGTGCCTAAACCACGGGTCCTGATGAAACCCCTAGGTACTTCACATAACATTACATTCCAAGTTCTGTTACCATATGGTTGTCCCTTAACTATTCATGTTCCATCTTGTAATCCAAGAACACCATAACTTAACAGCTCATTATTTATCTCGGGGCGTTTAGTTAAGCTGCTAGCGTTGAACTATAGGGACTGTCAAACGTTATATCGGCTAATGGTGCCATATTAACGGGTATTAGAGGATCTTCCCTTTCGGACAATTGACCAGCAAGGATGCCTGTGGTTATCACCGAGACGTCCGAGTTTTCACCACAGAGTGTCCAATTACTTTATCATCATTACTGAAGATCAAAGATGCATTGAGGTGACAAAAATACAAATAATCATACTAATGCTTTGTTGGGATAATAAAACTACACCCCTATCAAGTCAATCATAAAATACCCCCTATCTCCGGAAAACCTTATCTGTAGTATTTTGTCTTTTTGATGTAGGGCAACAAAACGCGTAGCCCATTGCTCAGCCTCGTGACTCCTTTCAGCGGCTTTTGAAGAGGCACTTCGGCGTGCGCCATAACAATAGCCGTTTTCACTGGCTCAGAGAAGCGTGAAATCACCCATGGTGTGGCCGTGTGCGCGAGAGAAGGATATCCCAAGCCTCTCACCTCTGTCCAATACGATCACAATACAGTTGTAGTGACAAATCACTCTGGCGGCCCAGGTACACACAACAATGTGTCTTACCGGAAACAAAAAACCGCCATTGTTACGCGCGTTAAACACCATCTGTCACTACGCGCCTGTTCACCATTTACGCTACAGCTCCGCACAGAATGACGATGTCCGCCATTGTTGAAACCCTTACGATCGTTATAGAGGACTAATAAACAAGATATTAAGCCGAATGCAATAGACAGGGCCCTCGATCAGATATTGGGCGCTCCTCGGGGACCCCGCAGCCTTTTTTAGCCTTCTGGCGAAAAGGTTGTGTTAAAAACTGAGAACTTTTAATGTGTCTCTGCTCTATCGATCTGTTTGACTGTGTTAAAGTTTTATCGTGTTTAATTCAAAGGCCGCACATGGCTTCTTTAGACAAAAGAGATAAGCATGATGAATTACTTTCTGATTCATTTACAATTCTTTCTTTTCCAACACTGAATTAAACTAATCTTATACATTATATGAACAATTCTAATTTCATTTGGCCTCGAATTGATATTTTGCAAATGTAATTGGAAATCGTTTTCAGGGAAGATGTCTTAAGATCATTATTTATAACAAAAATTAATACGATTTATTTTAACAAATCAGATCTAAGTGAACAAGTCACAAACGCTTTACAATTTAGATAAAAACACACAAATAAGTCCACGCAGGACATCTTGAGGTCGGATAATATTCGGAATGCATCGAGATGAATTTGGGGAGGGAGGGGTGTTCGTCACCCCCGGGATTGACAGTACGGACAACCACCGACATATGTATGAGAGACTAAGGAAAACCATCAGATATATAATCCCGATATCATATGTTTTGTTGTAGTTCGGTTATAGACAAAATCTCGATTATTTTCATCTTGATGATAGGCAGATAAGCGAAGCAATGTGCATAATGATACGTATCAATACCCTCTTTTGTGTATCGGGGATTGTAGAGTCTAAAATCACATATGCATCTGTTGTTTGTTTTCAGTTGGAAGTTTGACATTAAGATAGAATTTAGCTCGCATATCTGATGTAGACAGTTACACAACAAGCAACCTTTGACATTGTGGTTTGTGTACTTAATAGACAGTTGTATAATCACATACATTTCAGAGATATTTAACTCGAGGTCTAAAAGGCATCTGAAATGCATCATAAAACATATAACCGAAATGTTCCTGAACACCATCGGCAGTTATTAAAATAAAAGGTGATTTTGTAAAACAAAAACACCCGAAACAATAACAAACAACAGAGGCTAAGTCAGTTCAGTTGTAATCTTTCTGAAATGTTCAACGAGAAATCACCATTTCCCAGGAAACTACACTGATCATAAAGATTGTACGACGCTTCAATAGAGAACGTGCAATACCCGTACGTCTCTCTCATTCGGCCTTTGAGATTTAAGGTACATTGATTTGTGTGTACGGAACATAACAGCGTGTTTTGGATACTTCCGTTTTCCATTCAAACTGAAATAGTTTCTTGTTTCTTTCACCACAACGTAATAGTCGATGGTTAAAAATAATTTCAGCAATACCGTGATTTTTCTCAAATATATGACCGTATCAGTATCACTACTGATGAAGTCACTCAGATGAGAAATTCTCCGTCACAGCCCCTAACGATGAATTACCACAAATCATAATACCACTAGTTATCAATATACACAGAGGACGTAACAATGTTATCATCTACTAAGTAGATTATAGCATGAACCACAGGGGCATCTAACGCTAAAGGGGCGGTGGGGTAGCGTAGTGGTTAAAGCGTTCGTTCGTCACGCCGAAGACTCGGGTTCGATTCCCCACATGGGTACAATATGTGAAGCCCATTTCTGGTGTTCCCCGCCGTGATGTTGCTGGAATATCGCTAAGAGCGGCGTAAAACTAAACTCACTCACTCACTCACTAACGCTAAAACCTACCATCAATGTATGTACTGTCACTAACGGGGTCTCAGCACTATTAAAAGGAAAGGGATGTAACGAGGTCAACACACCAAGTTCGTTTCAGGGCGAATTCAACAATGCTCACTTTACTTATCCCATTTAAACTAGGCACACATTTCAAGCCGATATATTTACCTACAAAATAAGACATACAGCACAAAACTCGAAGCAGTACTTTGGGAGCTAGGGTCTTTGGAAGCTCGAAAATCGTGATTTCTCGATTCCGAGCCAAAATCCCTGCTCAGAATTTGTAGCGGTAACTCACCCATTTTCTTGTTTATTTCACAGTATACACAAACGACATTTGGTGTGTTGACCTTGTTACGTCCCTTTCCCTTTTATATAGTGCTAAGACCCCGTTAGTGACAGTACATACATTGATGGCAAGTTTTAGAGTTAGAAACCCCTGTGGCATCAACAATATGAAGAGAAAACAAATACTAAGGTGCTGTGGAGACTCTATCCTGAATACTTCACCAGATGGTCCCGGATTGATATAGTCATCGTAACATAAAGCTGACTGACTGACTGAGTTTAGATTTACGCCGCTTTTAGCAATATTCCAGCAATATCACGGCGGGGGACACCAGAAATGGGCTTCACACATTGTGCCCATGTGGGGAATCGAACCCGGGTCTTCGGCGTGACGAGACAACGCTTTAACCACTAGGCTACCCCACCGCCACCGTAACATAAAGCGAACAGTGAGAGACATGCACGTCACTTACCTCTTCATGCAGTAGGACGAAAAACACTACGAAGAAAGCACCCTGAAACCATTAAAAATATATCCGATAAGTACAGATAAACAATGATGAGCTCTATATGTACTCCGTCATGTTTCTATACGAATTCCATGTAAAGTACCCCGAACAATGTATACGATTTCATATTGATGAGACATTTTTTCAGTTAACGTAAATCTGGTACACATATTCCTGTTTGGAATGTTTGAGCTGAATTGAAAATACAAACTCAGACAAATGTGCCCTCCCCAACAAACCTCAAATCTATTAAAGAAATAGGTAAAAGCTAAAAACGATCTTTACACACAAAGTTGTAATACAAATTTAGGTTAACAATGCGAGGAATATGATCCCTCTTTAAATAACTCTTGATCCGTCTTTGTGTCTGTTTCAGACAATCTTTGGATATAGGAAGCATTTCAATATCACTAAAACGTTTTCAGTTAAAAAAAAAAAAAAAATTCATATACACAATGTACTCATGTACAACATTATTATGAATGTAACGGAATCTATTCTCACAAAAAATTTAATCAAATGCATAACTCACCTGTAAAAAATTAAACATGGCAAATAGGTATTTCAATATTGTGTCCACCATCTTTATGGAGATGAAGGCAAACGACCAACATACGGTGTTTAGAATAAGCTGGGTCCACACGCCCTTCATATGGATTCTGGAAAATTAAATCGGTAGAATTGTTCGTCAATCTGATAAATATCATTGATCAAGGTGGATTCACGGGATAAATGTATGACATATCAATATATCAATATGAACATGAGGTAGACACATATATAATGATTGAGATGGTTTTATGATACTTTTACTATATTTGTTTGTTTTAACGCTGTAATATCCCCGCTATATGGTGGCAGTATGTAAACAATCGAGTCTGGACCAGACAGTACAGTGATTAATATCACGAGTATCGATCTACGCTATTGGGATACGATGAAATACATAGACACGATCTGGTCCGTCTTCTCTTACTAGATACATGGACCGGTTCATCACGTGATAACTGTGCTGTGTACAGTATATATCATTTTGGTTGTTTTCAAACAACAGACACGATTCCCAAATATCGCCTTATAACGAGACTACAAATCACCGAAGCTTTGGTTTTACGACAATCGTCTCCTAAACTCGCATGAACAAATAGTGTAATGGCCCGTCCATCACGTGACTGTCTCACCACAGACAATAGGGATTCTTCATAAGGTTCAATATTACAAACATTTAAAAGATTCCTTACTGCCTTACAACATCAAGCATTGTGAAGCATCAGAACCCTAGTAAACAATTGCAGTAGGAAGGGATGGTCTCCACGAACCAATTCTGTATACTAGACCAGTGAGTGAGTTTAGTTTCACACTCATTAGCTATATGGCGTGGTTTGTAAATAATATGGACCAGACAATCCAGTGATCAACAGCATGAGCATCGATCTAAACAACTGGGATATGATGACATGCGTCAACCAAGTCAGCAAGCCTGACCACCCGATCCCGTCGGTCGCCTCTTACGACAAGCATGGGTTACTGAAGATCACTTCTAATCCGGATCTTCACGGGTCTGTACACTAGACCAATTATAACTGTCTCACGTTTCATACCAGCCTCAAAGTTATTCCAGCTATATGTGAGCGTTCTCTAATTAATCAAGTCTGGGTCCGACAATCTGATGATTGACATCAGTTGCATCGCTTCACGTAACTGAGATAAGATTCAATCAATCATGTCGCCCTGTCAATTTAGCCGAGTCTTTGAAAGAGAACCTTGAGCTGTTCGGATAATTTGGCTGATTAAAAACATTAATTAGAATTACAATTTAAATTTAAATCTTAAATACTCGACATACACGTTATGTATGCACGTGTTTGGAATTGCAAAATTGAATACTTACAATATAACTTTATTAGTCTTTTCACTTTTCGTGTAGGAATTTTCGTTGTGTTCTTTGGCGGTAAATATCAACACTAAAATATTTATCTGAAATGTAAACAAAACTGTTAATGTCTGCAGGTAATATACGAGGTAAAATATAACACAACACGTCCACAGACTGCATAAGCCTCCACTGAATTGAATATTGATTTTTCTTTATCCTACTGAATCCATCAAGAGTAGTCTCCCTGTATGGCTATCGTGGATCTTTTACGACGCATCGTTCACTTACTACTGATTCAGGCAGGGAATATCTTCCACCGATTTATTGATTCATTGCATTCGTGTTAGAGGTTATAGCAACTATTCTTACCGCTAAAACGCCCACTGCAGGACCAATAAATAACCAAAAATGTTCCCAGGCAATCCAACACCTGTAAATGCATGCAGAAATATAAAAAATAATTATATTTTCAGGACATTACTATTATTTTGGGGATGCATACAAGGGCAGATAATCGGAGTTATGAGGATGTGGTGTTAGGCATGACACTATTATTCTTAGATAAAATTGCGTTGTTAGGCCGTAGTAAATATATCCATAGATTTATATCTTCGCTAACCAACATATTGTCTCATAGTATTCAGTGTACGTGTCTACAAAAAAATATCTCTACGCGTTTCCTTACACAAACACACACACGCACGCGCGCACGCACACATATACTGCTTTGGGAAGTTTTATACATATATATGCATAGACAGTTTCCCATCTGACATTTATTTAAATGTATTACTATGGTTTCAAGAACATTATAATTTTTTTGTTATGTTAATGATAAAATATACATGGTATGTGGTTGATAAACAATTATTTTACTCACATGTCTGGTGCGTAATAATTATCCGAGTGACTCCCAACGAAAGCCCCCACAAGTACAGCGGGTATCACTGAAAGTTACAATTATGATGCACTTCAGAAATTCAGAAATCAAAACAAATATGTCAGAACCATTAGATATATGGTATATTGTTAAGGCTACTCATTCAAATATACATAACCATGATCTCCAGGTATACTTAATGGCGGGAACTATTTTAAATTCAGTGAACAGAAGGACAAAAACGTAGTAGTAGTAGTAGTAGTAGTAGTAGTAGTATATAGTAGTGGTACCGATGTCATCGTTTAAACAGCCATGTTAATCTTTGCGTGCCTGTAATCAGAGCTCCAGATTATATACTCTGCAAAAAAAGAAGTGCAAAAATGTGTTTTTTCGGATTTGTGCTTTACGTACTGTACATATAATCAACAGATAAATTGTTCAAATTTGGCACGAGTCATTGTCACCGAGGTTCATCATGGCACACACGAAACAATCAAATGTCAAGGTGAAGGTCATCTGGTTCTCAATATCTTGTATGGATTCCATGAGAGTCCAGAACCGCCTGGCATCGTGGGCCTACGAAACCAATCAGAATACGAATTATGGCCTGGGGAATATTCACCCACTCTTCCTGCATTGCTTGTCCCAACTGTTGGAGGTTCTGTGGTCGTTGCTGGCGTGATCAAGAGCATCCGATAAGTGTTCGATGGGATTCAAACGTGGAGACCTTGAGGGCCGATGGCAGTACATGGGTGTTGTGGTTCCTCAAATAGGCTGTTGTCTTACCTTGTGGGCGTTGTCGTGTTGAAAAATGGCGTTTGCTAGTTAAATAATGAGAAAGACGTGTGGTCGAAGAATCCCATCTGTGTAATACTGTGCTGTTAAATTGCCCTTGACGCGTACCATGTCTGTTCTGCCAGTAGGGAGATTGCCGCCCACATCATTACGCTCACGATATCAAACCTGTCCATTTCCTGCAGTTGCGAGCATAACATTCTCCACGATGTTTGCAAACACGACGTGTTCCGTCTGTATGGAGAAGCAAAAACGTGATACGTTGTTCATTGCTGTTGTCTTTGACACCACTGACGTCAGCCGACGGTGCTGATCAGTCAGTATGCTGCCTCATACTGGTCGTCTCGGACGAATACCTGAGGCGCGTTGACGGTTACTCACTGTCTGGGCTGAAATCCTACGCAATCCTGCTATTGCTGTAACCGTAGTGGTACCCGTAGGTGAGTCTATCACGTAAATGAAGAACCCGTAATCTGGGTAGGTCAGATTTTGACCCCTGCATCTAATAACGGCACCATAGTCTTATAATGGTGCTTGGTGATACGTAGAACGACCTAGCTACGACCGAAGCCAAGATCGATGGCGCTGTTGCATTGAGCATTTGTCAGTGGTGGCATGTGTTCACCTTTTCCCTTTCTGTACAATTGTGATGACAACAAATAAAACCCTTTGTTTTCATAGCCCAACAATTCATGTTGCACATTCATTCCATGTTTCTGTGTTTCGCTGCCATGTTCCCACGTGGTAGCGGATTTCGGCATTTTTTGGCCACACTTTATTTTACCTGCACAAATCACTCCACTCACTTCATATTTCTCATTCATTTTGAAAGAATATCTACCAAACTGCATCAGATATTTTCATTCTTTCTACCTTTGCGTTTCTTTTTTTTGCAGAGTATATTTCCAGTTCACGACTCCCTCGTTGATCATCTCGCCACAATGGCTGCATGAGATGTACGTACATTACTTGAACAAGAGACACCGCTATCTAGACGTCACCCACTTACCCCAGCCGAGGACGTAGTATCTGACGAGGGAGCCCGAGTCCGTGAGCTCGCCTTGGTTGTGGGCGGAGTACGTGATGACGATGTACAGGTTGAAGGCTTCATTCATCAACCACGAGTACGTGGCCAGGAAGAAGTAGTGCAGGAGGATGGCGAACACCTGACAGACAACCTGGAATGTGAAGATTCAGGTAAATAGGTGGTAAACAATAGGAAATATGGTATGGAGTAAACCTAAAGGAATTCGAGAATATGCAGTGAGGTAGATAACTGGATTGTGAGATGGTGTAAGGTAAACACGTGGTAAAAGATCGAGGAAATGAAGTTAAATGAATACCTGGTATGTTATCTGGATTATGAGATGGTGTTAAGTAAACACGTGGTAAAAGATCGAGGAAATGATGTTAAATGAATACGTGTCAGGTTATCTGGATTATGAGATGGTGTTAAGTAAACACGTGGTAAAAGATCGAGGAAATGATGTTAAATGAATACCTGGTATGTTATCAGGATTATGAGATGGTGTTAAGTAAACACGTGGTAAAAGATCGAGGAAATGGTGTTAAATGAATACCTGGTATGTTATCTGGATTATGAGATGGTGTTAAGTAAACACGTGGTAAAAGATCGAGGAAATGGTGTTAAATGAATACCTGGTATGTTATCTGGATTATGAGATGGTGTAAGGTAAACACGTGGTAAAAGATCGAGAATACGAGGAAATGGTGTTACATTAATACGTGGTATGTTATCTGGATTATGAGATGGTGTTAAGTAAACACGTGGTAAAAGACCGAGAATACGAGGAAATGGTGTTACATTAATACGTGGTATGTTATCTGGATTATGAGATGGTGTAAGGTAAACACGTGGTAAAAGATCGAGAATACGAGGAAATGGTGTTACATAAATACGTGGTATGTTATCTGGATTATGAGATGGTGTAAGGTAAACACGTGGTAAAAGACCGAGAATACGAGGAAATTGTGTCAAATGAATACGTGGTATGTTATGAGGATTATGAGATGGTGTTAAGTAAACATGTGGTAAAAGACCGAGAATACGAGGAAATGGTGTTACATTAATACGTGGTATGTTATCAGGATTATGAGATGGTGTTAAGTAAACACGTGGTAAAAGATCGAGGAAATAATGTTAAATGAATACGTGGTATGTTATCTGGATTATGAGATGGTGTAAGGTAAACACGTGGTAAAAGATCGAGAATACGAGGAAATGGTGTTACATTAATACGTGGTATGTTATCTGGATTATGAGATGGTGTTAAGTAAACATGTGGTAAAAGACCGAGAATACGAGGAAATGGTGTTACATTAATACGTGGTATGTTATCAGGATTATGAGATGGTGTTAAGTAAACACGTGGTAAAAGATTGAGCATACTAGGAAACTGTGTTACATTAATACGTGGTATGTTATCTGGATTATGAGATGGTGTTAAGTAAACACGTGGTAAAAGATCGAGAATACGAGGAAATGGTGTTACATTAATACGTGGTATGTTATCTGGATTATGAGATGGTGTTAAGTAAACACGTGGTAAAAGATCGAGAATACGAGGAAACTGTGTTACATTAATACGTGGTATGTTATCAGGATTATGAGATGGTGTTAAGTAAACACGTGGTAAAAGACCGAGAATACGAGGAAATGGTGTTACATTAATACGTGGTATGTTATCTGGATTATGAGATGGTGTAAGGTAAACACGTGGTAAAAGATCGAGAATACGAGGAAATGGTGTTACATTAATACGTGGTATGTTATCTGGATTATGAGATGGTGTAAGGTAAACACGTGGTAAAAGACCGAGAATACGAGGAAATTGTGTCAAATGAATACGTGGCAGGTTATCAGGATTATGAGATGGTGTTAAGTAAACATGTGGTAAAAGACCGAGAATACGAGGAAATGGTGTTACATTAATACGTGGTATGTTATCAGGATTATGAGATGGTGTTAAGTAAACACGTGGTAAAAGATCGAGGAAATAATGTTAAATGAATACGTGGTATGTTATCTGGATTATGAGATGGTGTAAGGTAAACACGTGGTAAAAGATCGAAAATACGAGGAAATGGTGTTACATTAATACGTGGTATGTTATCTGGATTATGAGATGGTGTTAAATAAAAAACAGGTAAAAGATCGAGAATACGAGGAAATGGTGTTACATTAATACGTGGTATGTTATCTGGATTATGAGATGGTGTTAAGTAAACACGTGGTAAAAGATTGAGAATACGAGGAAACTGTGTTACATTAATACGTGGTATGTTATCTGGATTATGAGATGGTGTTAAGTAAACACGTGGTAAAAGATCGAGAATACGAGGAAATGGTGTTACATTAATACGTGGTATGTTATCTGGATTATGAGATGGTGTTAAGTAAACACGTGGTAAAAGATCGAGAATACGAGGAAATGGTGTTACATTAATACGTGGTATGTTATCTGGATTATGAGATGGTGTTAAGTAAACACGTGGTAAAAGATCGAGAATACGAGGAAATGGTGTTACAATAATACGTGGTATGTTATCTCGATTATGAGATGGTGTTAAATAAAAAAAAGGTAAAAGATCGAGAATACGAGGAAATGGTGTTACATTAATACGTGGTATGTTATCAGGATTATGAGATGGTGTTAAGTAAACACGTGGTAAAAGATTGAGAATACGAGGAAACTGTGTTACATTAATACGTGGTATGTTATCTGGATTATGAGAGGTGTTAAGTAAACACGTGGTAAAAGATTGAGAATACGAGGAAATGGTGTTAAATTGATACTTGGTATGTTATCTGGATTATGAGATGGTGTTAAGTAAACACGTGGTAAAAGACCGAGGAAATGGTGCTAAATGAATACGTGGCAGGTTATGTGTATTATAAGATGGCGTTAGGTAAACACATGGTTTTAGAACCTGAGAATATGCACACTGTACTTACCGGCTGGTCGTATCTGTCGATGCCGAACATGAAGACCATCTGAGCGAACATGACGGACAAACACAGGTTCTTGTGAAGAGACGCCGTTGTGGAGGAGGTTCTGAAGAGACATATGAGTGAGTGAGTGCGTGAGTAGGTGGTGAATGAATGGGTGGGTGGATGAAAGAGTGAATGAGCGAGAGGGAGGTTTAGCGATACGGTGGGTATATTGAGTGAGTGAGTGGTTTAGCGATAAGGTGGGTATGTTGAGTGAGTGAGTGGTTAAGCGATAAGGTGGGTATGTTGAGTAGGTGATTTGTGTGTGTGACGTAAGTGTATGAGTGTATCAAGTGTTTGGGCTAATGAGTGAATGTATGGGTCAATTGCACCTAATCACCACCGCAAGAACTTGGCACAATCCGTAATCACTAATATGTAAAATACGAACAGATAACCGAACATATATATACGAACATTTTGTCAATTTATATTTTTTTATGGTTATAAGCTTATAACGTGACAGTGAGCTAATTAAAGTACGCATAACTTTCTCATACTTGACATTGTTTATTACAAGTCTGCGTTTGGCAGTCAAAGTGTATGTGTAGGAATAATTCTTAGGTGTCCATAGCTCAAAGTCATGTGCACATCCAAGGCCCTGCTCCTTGGTGTAGAGCTGGCTGCAGTGTGTGAGCATGATCAAGTGCAGATGTTGGAGAGCCTTCTAATTTGTCTGAGTTTGGCACCGCCCTTATAATGGGTTGTCCAGACAGGATGATTGGTACTGTGCAAGGTAGGTATAATTCCCACAAATTGAAGGTGGCGTGACGTTTGCGATCTTTACTTACTTCGGATAATTCCTTACCGTGGATATTTCTGTAAAGGTCTTTGACAGTCTGGTATTCCGACCTTCACATGGTAAACCCCCGACGTAATTACAATGAAAGATGTGTCTCTTCGCAAAGAGTTTAACCACATGAAGGGACAATATATCATCTCAACCGCAGTTTTATCTTCTTCCCTTTTGTGTCAAACTCTTGAAATTTCAGAGAAAAGTTTTACACAGGCCACGCGCTCTTTTCAACACACAAAAGGCCCATGCAGACGCAACGTTTTGCAAGACCTGGCGTGTATTAAGGTACCTGCGCCCCGTTTCACAATGTGATATAAGATTTTATGTTAAGGAAAGGGAATTATGACACGCGTTAGGATCTAACATAACATATGTTATATATGATTAACAAGCGTTAAAACCCCTTCTGGAACGAGGCCTAGATGTCTCTACAGAAGGAAAAACGGTAACACTTTTTTTTTATCAAGGAACGGATATGACATAATAATAATAAATGATAATACTGAAAATTTACATAGCGCTAACTCCAACCACTAAGTGGGTGCTTATTCATCCCCTTTACAAAACATCCCCTTCACGACCCATTCTGCAGCTTACAGAAAACAGTTTATATTAAACGACATGTTCGGAGAGGTATGTTCAACAAGGTATTGATTTAAAGGTTTGTTTGTTGTTTAAGCGCTCAGCAATTTTCCAAATTTATGACGGAGGTCTGTAAATATTCGAGTTATGACGAGTTACGAGTTATGACAATCCAGTGATGATATTATGAGCATCGACCCACGCAATTCGCATGCATCTTCCAAGTTAGCGCGCCATACCACCCAATCCCCTTACGAGAATCATGGAGTGCTCAAGACCATTACTAGCCCGGATCTTCACTGAAAAGCGTCAAGTCAAGTAAAACAAGGCCGGAGACAGTAAGACAGGTGGTCAGCAGTGCGAGCACCGCCAGGTCACCAGTAGCCATGTCAGGTTATTGGTTCAAGTATAATGTACAATCGATACTCATTCTCCGCCCTGGTCCTTTTCCCCCTGGAACCAGCCCCCGTCCTACTGAATCACGAGTCTCACTTCTCGCTTTTAGTCTCATTGCTCACTCCTAAATCCCAATATGAAAAGCATCGAGAAAAGGGTGCTATTTGAACATTATTTATAAACTAATCAATTTAAATTAAATTATAAATCATTAAACATTAAAAGGATATGTTTTCCTGTGGCATTATTTATAATATATAAGTGGAATTTGTGTAACAGTATGATTTTATCTGCGGCCCGAGATCCACACTGATGAATCCAGAAATAGAAGATAAAGTTACTCTGTTTTCAATTTTGCGGTCCTTTATCGTTGATTTAAGACCGCTAAATGTAATTCAAAAACCGAACGCGTTAGCGTGAGGTTTTAAATTAAACATTTAGCGGTCTTAAATCAACGATAAAGGACCGCAAAATTGCAAACTGAGTAGCTTTATCTTCATTCTAGCACGACTGATTAGCGTTTTCAAACCGAACTGTTTGGCGCGCAAGAACACAAGCGCAAAGGGGCCTTTTTCCTGGAAATCGCTTGGAATAGTCCCGTTGAGGGACAGGTTGAGTAATGAACAGAATAAGACATTTTCAACAACATAAATGCTATATTTCAGGAACCAGTATGCTTGTATTTGTAACAAGTAGCATACATAAATAAAATAAAATACAGTTTATACTGTGAGCAAGTACAATTTGATTTTTCTCAAGAGAATTATTGATCTCCCCTACTGTATGACAATCGACTCGCCCAAAGGCAAGCCGTGAACTCAATAAGTTTAGTCGCCGCTAACTTTATTCACGGAAATAATTGTTGATAACCACCCTACTATTCCCAGGTTGGAAAAGACCTGACATGCCACGTTTTATGTGGGATACATGGACAGTGGAAGTGGAAGGACTGGGCATTACGGCCGGGACGGAAGCGGTCAGGTGTGGACGTGTGGGCCGACGTGTGTTGTCGACGTCAACACACGTACATCTGGACCCGCTTTGAATATACTGCCGCTTTTGCGCTGCTGACGGATTTTCCAGCTTCGTAGTTTCTTCACTGGGATTTTACTTCAAAAACACCAAAGATGCTGCCTTGATAGAAATTGCCAATGTCCCACATGTTTGTTTACAAACAATAGTGTCAACGAGTTCGTTGTATTCATACGCGGTGAATCGGTCACTTTAATTAACGGTCCTTAAACTGTCATTTAAGTACGGTTTTGATGAGCTCTCAGCCAATCAGAATCGAGTATCACACAATGTCGTGCTAGAATACCCTCTAAACAGAACACGAAGCTAAAGCTGAGAACTTCCGTCGCCTCATCAAATCCGCAAGGGCCTCTTCCCTCATACAGCCGCCTCCGTGGTGTAGTGGTTAGAGTGTCCGCCCGGAGAGCAGAAGGTCGCGGTTCGATTCCCGGCCGCGTCATACCAAAAGACGTTAACATATGGTACTTGTTGAACCCTGCTTGGCGCTCGGCATTAATGGGTACAACATGGACTGGTCGGCTCGGAGTCAGTATAATGTGTCTGAGTGGGGTATTCATGTTTAACTGCGGCATGGTATCTCACTATAAAACCAACTTAAAGGTCACATGCAACCAAAAATTCAAACATAATTAAAACACAATTATCTCTTATTTATGACATATAATATACATTGCTGGTTATGAAAAAACATATAAACAAAATTATAAGCGTACAATCGCAAATCAAAAGTGCAATATTGTGTACTTGGGTTTACTTCCCAAGAAACGAAGCAGCCTGGATACCGAACCCAGTCAGAGCGGGTGGGTGTGCACTCAAGTGTAACGGCTGGTTCATTTGCAGATGCCCTCACGGCTCATTGTGTGTGTATATATAGAGATGTTGGGTTTTGTAAATACATGCTCATTTTTTGTGTATAACATTTTGCAATCAACAGACATCATGTGTTCAAGTATCACACCTGCCTGTCTGTGTAATTACATAATGTGACAGAGACCGAACTCGGGCCATAAATCAATGCATTTTGTTTATGGTGTATAGCCTGATTGGTGTTAAGTTCAAATTGCATGTGGTCAGTGATAGCAGCTGTGTATTGAATATTGTCATTAGCAGACGGGCAGGCAGACACACAGGTGTCAATAAAACAAGACATTGAGTTTTGTCTGTGACAACGACATATCTATATCACAGTTAGAAATTCTGTCAACGCTAAATAATGACATTGCTTTTAAGTATCGAACTGAGAAAGTGACTCGGTAAGAAGAACGTGTGGTGAAATAGACAAATGAAATTATATAAACAGTTAATTTACTGTCATAACATATAAAAAAGCTCGCGCCTGTGAGATATCAACAAAACATTAGAAAAATAGCTGAAAATTAGTGAAACGTTTGAACTCCGATTTCGCGCGGGTTTTTTTTCATCGCGTTACTTTTCAACTTTATAAGTTGAATTTGCAATTTTGACGATTTGTTTCGGTAAGTCCATACCGAAAGGTATCAGAATCTGCAAAGTTGTGTTTTACGTTGCATGTGACCTTTAAGTCTGGGCTAGTACAAGCAGCCGCACATACCCACGCATGCGCGTCGTCATATGAGCGAAATATTCTTAAGTGCGATGTTAAACCCCATTTCACCTCACCTCTTGCCTCCTATTGTAACCCTCAGTTCCCCTTAGCGTATATTTTAGATAACAACAAAAGAACAGCAGTAACTTAATACACCTACACGCTTTATGAATCAAGTGAAATGAAATCAACATGACAACAAATATGTGTTACATATATTTCGAAATACATTATCTCAACACTTGGTACAAAGGAGGGGTGATGGGTCGCCTAGCGGTTAAAGCGTTCGCTCGTCACGCTGAAGACCCGGGTTCGATTCCCCACATGGGTACAATGTGTGAAGCCCATTCCTGGCGTCCCTCGCCGCGATGTTGCTGGAATATTGCTAAAGGCGGAGAAAAAGCAAACTCACTCACTCACTGGCACAAAGGATATGACATTATCCTGGTATAATCCGTCTTATATGGGTTCGTGGCTTTGTTTCTAACTCGGGATAACTTGCATTCACAGACGGACTTCGACTAACTATGCGTCACTAACTTGTGTTTGACAAAGAACACACTTACTTGACATATACGTGTATAAGGACGGAGAGTAGACACAGGGTGGCAGATACTGTGCATCCAATATAGGACGCGAAGTTCATCAGCTCTGGGCGCTTATCTCCCTTGTCCCACTAAAGTAAAAACAGAATGAAGCACTCGTAAAATATACAAATGTCATTTATATATAGTTGTTGTCACTGCTCTCCTGCACATGCAGTATTATTAATCTGATTAAAATAGGATTTATGTAAATATATATGGCAAGACTGTTTATATGTTCTACTAGTGTTGTTAAAGCTGGAGGAAAACTATTCGGGACAGGTTACTGATACCCGCTATGTCTAGAATATCACTCACATTTTCATTGAACATGTCAGTGGTGACGGCAAACACGCCAGGCACTGAGCATGCGCACATGACTGATTGCGGTCTGTATTCGAGAACCTCGCAGTTACTTCTCGTCCATGTCCATTTCCGGGTTCTGCAGAATGTGATGTCATGACACATTGATAAAAGGACAATACAGTTCACAAATGAACCAGTTGAACAGGTCTACAATAAAATCGTTCAGATAAAACATTCAGTTCTAAAAACAGTGCAAGCAGTTTGAGCTTTCGCACGAAATTCAACCTAACTTGATTTTTATAACGTCAAAGACAATTGCGGGCAACAGAATAGAATTTGTTGAATTCTCACGTATTTGGAGATGTTTTTATAGTGAAGTTCAAACCACATGATTTAAGAAACTAAATAACCCCCTACTGCAAACTAGCGATAATGTACATTTACAGATGATGCAGTGCTCAGCACTATCGGGGACCTACCAATACCAGACCAACCAAAGCAAACATAGATAGCTACTAAACTACAGAAAATATATACACTTTATAAAGAAAGGGACAAATCGTTTTACATTGACACAATTCCTATAAATTTCTCACCCGACTGATATCAACTCCGCTCTGTGTTCAACGGAATCAAACAGAGAATAAAATGGGTGTGATTCTTATCGTTACGATACAAACTTCATGGCGGGTGTGTCTAGACTCTAAATTGTGCTGCTATCTACGTGTGTGCATGCCCCTTAATTAGATAGCTCTTTGCTGGTTTTCTTCAAATACGAAGATGAAAGAAATTGTTGAAAGTTAGGTCTTACCTATTTCGATGGTTCAACCTTACACAGTCGGGATTGGATATATTGAATGTCTGTAATGTAGAATGGCATCTTATATGCATATAGTCTTCAATAAAATATACTGGACAAAATAAGTTAGGGATATTGGTATTTTTATGATGGATATTTTATCAGAGTGTCAATGAATAAATAGATCATTATTCATAATTTCAAAATTTACATATATCCCTAACTATTTTTGTCCAGTATATATTACATGACAGACTGGCAGTTAAACACCGTTGTGACGAACTCACAGTTGAGTCGAAGTAAAAGCCTTGTCCTGCGCATTCCTTCCTATGTCATCTTGCGGTTGTGTCGAACCACGTACAACTCGAAGTATTTACGTATGTCCCTTCAACTTCGACACAACGATGTTTGATTGTATTTAGACTGCATCTTCGTTCATAATCATTATTTATCGATTCTACAGTTGTCACTTTCGTAAGTATTACGGCAAACCTTTGCAATCCATGGGAGGTAACTCATGTCTAGCTGGTAACAACACAAGGGAGGGAACTCACGTCTAGAAATGGAAGATCAATGATGATGGGTGATGTGAGGTTCTGTGACAGCGAGAGATCCCCCATATGTGTGAACAACGCAACGATAGGAGTGTTCACCCAGTCGTCCTTGCGCCGGCTGCAGAGTACAAGAACGCAACAAATGTAAAGGAAAGTCCCTTGTAACACGACTCTTGGTATAGAAACTGTTTAATGCCGTTTTTAACGGCATGTCAGTTCTTTCACGACGTGTCATCTGGTTGGAGGCTGAATCCCGTAGTCAAGGTCTTAGTTTGTTACCACTCTGGTAAAACCTACGAGTGAGTGAGTAAGTGAGTGAGTGAGCTGGGTTTTACGCCGCTTTTAGCAATAGGTAAAGGCGTTCGCAACATCACGGCGGGGGACAACAGAAATGGGTTTCACACATTGTACCCATGTGGGGAATCGAACCCGGGTCTTCAGCGTGACGAGCGAACGCCGTAACCACTAGGCTACCCCACCGCCCCTTAAAACCTACGAACACGTGTACGGTGCAGGCACACCAAATAGAATTCAAACCCATGATCACCAGTTCAGGGAACGCCCAAGGGACACAACTCTGTTGAAAGAATTGTGGCGTCTTAAACGCTGGGGTTATTCGCGCCACTCATATACAATCCAATATGCATATTTTAATAGTACTATCAAGAAACAATAATTGGGGTTCATGTTTTAATCTGTTGGTTTCCTACTGGTGTGTAAGTTTTTTGGACTCATACAGAACAGCTGAATTTGATTTTCTGACCTTTTGACCGCTTGACCTGGAAGAACCCGTGCAAGCGTTGGATATCTAAACGCTGATATACCGATGAACACTGAAACAAGGTGAGTATTAGAAGTTCGTAATTTCATGTCTTCTCTTTAAGACTTATATCACTGTAATGAAAGCGGGTGATATTGGTACTACTGCCCATTCAGCTTTACAAAACATGGGGAAAATAGATCGATATAAGACGCCTCGGAAATTTCCAATCTAATCTCGTGTCACATGATTTAATCTTAGTAAAACACATTGACATCTTTATTAAATATAATATATCATATAAATTTGTGTTCCACCATGAAGCATAACTGAAATGACCACAACAGCAGTCGAGGTCGTCCTCGAATAACAATATTTCTTTCAAATTGAACACTTCTTCGAAGAACGTTTTAGATTTACAAGTGCTTCTAGTTATTGTTGATTTCGAATTCGGTAATTATATACATTTTTCTTGGCACATAAATTGGATTATCTCCCTTACCTGGAAGCTGCGATGCATTCTGGGTAAGAAAGGCGTCTCCTTGGATCCTCACTGAGCCGTCTTCAAACTTGAGAGTGTCGCTCTTGAAGTCGTACGAATCAGGAAAGAGGATACCGTTAAACTTCTCGATCCAGTGTGTCTCGATCTTAAACTCTGCAATAGGGAAGGCACTGGATGTTAATACACGGTCCTATCAGTTAGCTGTTTTAAAATATAGAAGCTGGAGACAATAGGTTATTTGCCGTAATAAAGTATGACTTGGTTACTAATACACTATGCGCATGGATATTGTATGTAGTCTTTTGTGTCTGTATGATGTCAATCAGGTGGTCAGCTGTGAACACAGTGATATAGATAATAAGAGTGCGGCTCCTGTGATCTACATTTGCAGCGATTAGGCGCCCAAACCGAAACATGAGTCTCATTAACCAATTCAGACAATGACCTACTTTCAGCCGATCCGAATTTCTCGTGTGAAAGTGAAAAGAGACACTACAAACAATTCCACTTCCTTGTTTCATAAGAAAATGGTATTTACAAAATGATTTCAATTTTAAAGTTTAAAACACTCGTATTTCTATATTTTATGACGGGGTTTAGACAGCATGTCGTTAATTAAGACGTCACAGACTGCCTCTGTTTGAAGAGGTCGTACAATGATTCGCAATTCATCTGGTTACACCTGGTATGTGTTCTTTGGGCTTATTAAGTGTATTTTCGTAACGTACAGTGCGATTAATATAAAATCAAGTCCGTACCAGACCGCCAAACTTTTCTAGCGGCCGAGCCTCGTTTTGACATTTCCACGATTCCCAGATTTCCGTTTGTCAGAGCACGCTGTACGACAGAGCACGCTGCACAACGTGTTTGCAAGGATTAGAAGGAGCGTAGTGTTGCAATATACAAGTGATAGGATGTATCAAGTAACACTAATTAATATTTATATACTGAACATCATTGAAAACGCACCAGTCTAAAATTGTCCATATTTTCATCAAGATGGATTTCAGCATGACAATGATCAATGAATGCTTTAGAAACAAATTCCTGTCCACATAATGACTCTTAATTCCAAAATGCATCAACGTGCAGCCACGCCATGAAAAAAGCGCGCATTTCATTCTGAAATCATACTGACTGTGACATTAAAAGCAGGTGTATGAAAACCGATTCTCATTGCTTCACTAACGATTGTGAAACGAGGACAGAGATGCCGAGGTTAACACCTCACGAAAGAGAACGTGCACTAGGCATGATTCAGGTTGGCACTAGCAGCAGGGATATTGCTCGACAACTTGGACTTGGCCACTCCACCATCGTTAGGCTTCATAGACGACATCAGTAGACAGGCAGCACCCGTGACCTTCAATGACCTTGGCAATAACGTGTTACGACGCTCCATCAGGATCGCAATATTGACCATGTCCATATCAGTGATTGAATATTGCCGACTGCCAGGACTGCTGCACTAGTTCAAGGTTGGCGTGGGGGTCATCAGCGCTGACTCCATGCGACGCCGTCTACACGCTACAGGGCTCCAAGCTCGACGTCCTTACGTTGGACCAATTCTGACTGACAGACACCGTAATGAGCGTATACAATGGGCTAGCAGGCATTTTCAGTAAAGGTTACAACAAATGGCATGGTGTGGTAGTCACTGACGAGTCACGTCTTGATCTACGTAATGCTGACGGCCGATTACGTGTTTGGCGTAGACGTGGTGAACGTTATGCTGATGAGTGTGTGGTTCAGACAGACCTTTGGGTGGTGGGAGTGTCATGGTCTGGGGTGGAATAAATATCAATTACAGGACTGCCTTCATGTCTGTCAAGGGAGAGTTAATGCCCTTTATTACCGTGAGCAGATTCTTCAGAATCACATCGTATCTGTCTTCAATCACCACCAAGATGTCCATACTTTTCAACAGGACAACGCACGGGCACGCACAACAAGACTTTCCATGCAGTATCTGGCCCAGCAACACATCCAGGTTATTCATTGGCCAGCATAGTCGCCAAATGTATCCCCCATGGAGCACTTGTTGGACGAAATTGGTCAAAGTCTTTCGCGGCGACAACAGATGCGAAACATCCAGGAACTTGAGGCTGCACTACTGCAGAAGTGGAATGCCATCCTCAAGAACTCTATTCGGACGCTTATTGACTCAATGGGGAGACGTTAAACTGCATGTGTCAATGCAAATGGCGGTCACACGCGGTATTGACTTTTCGGTTTGACCCCACGTGTGTTTGATCCTTTCTGACTGTGGAACATTTCAATGAATAAGCGTCTTTTCTGTGTTGTTGTTTTTTTTCAGTCATCCATCTGTTATTATCCACTCAAAAAATATCAATTCCTTACACGTGCTTTTAATAATCTGAACTTTTATAAGTGGTGCGTTTTCAATGATGTTCAGTATATATCCAGTTGAATGAGTTTGTCTCAAAATTCTGGACTGGTTATTGTACTAAGTTGCGCAATAGGACGGAACCCAGTCAGCAGGAAACGAGACTGTTGTGCAATCAATGTTTTGACTTGATCAAAAGTTGGAATGGGCAGTGGTTGCTGAAGATATTAGGTATAGGGGATAATTATTAAACAGACAGTAAGATGAGGTTAGGTGAAACAGACGAGATTATTGTACTCATATAGAGATTGTTATACAGAGATACCACTCCTCCTATAGTGCTAGCCAACTGCGATATCCTGCAGCGGTTTCATACGGATACCCCACACAGTCAAAGCTTACTGCACCGTAGCCGTCCAGTCCTTGTTTATCATGTCTAACCAGTTGACCAGGGAGGAGGTCAGTCCACAGTGGAGCTGACCACACCCGTTTTCATTGAGGTTATAAGTCTTGAAGAAAAATGCTTACAAGAGTTACGTCCCTTGATATATTCACTTAAAGACCATGGACGACAGTATATCTCCCAATTTCTTTAAAATGATTCCGGAATCCTAAGTTCAGAAAGCTCTTCATGATAAAACAACCCATTTCTACCGTCTGGTGTTCACAATTTACGGATTAATCAAGTTTGCTTTTGACAGAATCTGACGCTACTGCCTCTAATAGACTGAAATGGATTGGTCGATCAACGCATACAAAACTGTTAGCGATACAGCTACCTTGATAGAAACATACATAACGGTATCATCAAGCGGAAGAAGCTCCCCATATACGGTGTATTCGGATATTAACAGACGTTAAACACGGCGCTGAAACTATTCCTTTCAAAAAGCCCTGTGTGGGTGAGACAGTAATTGAAATAAACGACAGTTCCACCACGGTGCAATAAATCATATCCTGATCAGTGACCTAACTGAACCCAAGTCACCGTAACCCGACGGGTAATCTGTGTCTTGGGCTGCAATGATGGGTTAGGGTGACCCAGCCGTCGCAGTACAGAGTTGTACAGAGTTGCGGGCCTTAGTTGTACCAGAAACCTATGATCAGGGGCTTGAATTCCTGATTCGTTTTAATTATGTTCCTTGGTTTTAGGTTTCATAAAAGTGGTAAGCCTTTGGCTCGCATCACACAATAGGCTAATATATATAACTGAAATACTGTTCAAGATGGCGTTGCTTGTACACAACTCACCGACACAAAATTGACGTGCGTGCACGTGTTGGGGTCACTCGTTTAAGGGGCACGGGTTGGTGTGGTAGGCTAGAGGTAAAAGCTTTCGCTCGTCACGCCGAAAACCCGGGTTCGATTCTCCACATGGGCACAATATATGGAGGCCATTTCTGATGCCCCCCGCCGTGATATTGCTAAAAGCGGCGTAAAACTAAACTCACTCACTTTAAGTGACACTGCCAGCATATACCAATTTGAAAACAATACATAACCCTGCCATATGTCATGTATCCGTACTCCAAACACCAATCCTATATAATAAAGAACAAATACTAAAACTAGACTGAGCTTCTAACAAACGTGATGTACATTCAGTACACAAACGGGATTAGAATGCTAAATTGGTTTCTACAATCAGGAGACAATTTCATGGTCTTTTGATACAACAATGAATACTGACGAAGACATTGAGACCAATTCTCGTGTTCAGAATCTTCTACAGCCTAAACTTCCCGTTAGCTTTATTAGAAAAGTTTTCTGTCCACATCCGGGGACCTTGAGAAACAAAGGATATCAATGGAGATAACGTTCTGATATATCCCTGCTTCTTCGACAGTGTGCCTCTCCGATCAGCTTCAGTCCAGAATTAGCAACTGTTTTCCACCAACTGACGTTTTTACGAGAGCAATCCTGACCCTATAGCTTCAGATATACTTTTGCTTCACGTCTTTAATAGAATTACGGACTCCAGTCTGGCCAGTGTAAGTTTACGATCAATTATAGGACCATCCCCTTGAGATCACCATGATGGCCGATCACCAGTACTTCCGGCCAGACAAAATAACGCGGGAGAAGGCACGTGCAGCGTGTTATTGTCCAGCGATGGGTACATCGGAATCCAGAAATCAGTTGGACAAAATCGATACAGCTAGTTAACGAACCGTAAATGTACAAGACACAAGATTGCTTGGAAAACCTTACGTTTTGACTTCCTTTGAAATAAGGAAAAACGGGACCTAGTTTCAATGATTTTCTTTCAGATCTCTCAAAAAGTTCACAAAGTTGACGTCTCGTGATAAAAAGACATAGAGATCATAATCGGTGGGCGCAGAGGTTCGAGCAGGAGGAAATTATACTGGATTACCCATTCCCGCAAAGCAATGGCGTGTGTGGAATGGGCTACCTAGGTCGCCTAGGCTTAGTCAGCGCTCAGAAACGCTGAGGTCGCGAATATTTGCAAACATTTGGTATGGCATCAGCTTTGTTAGTACGAAACATTTGTATGTGATCTTCTTAAATCTATGACCAAATTTATGGTACTTTATTTATCAAATCTCGCCACGCATACCGATTGCTACTTTACATATTTATGATAACAATATCGACTCACGGTTATTATGTTTTCATATTGATATTTTGGGGTTTAATTAATCAGTCTTCCACAAAGTCAGAAAGTATGCAAGGAATGTCGTGTTTCAATTAACGCTTATTGGCAACACATCCTTGTCTGTAAGTTTGTGGAATAGACTGCAAAGTCTTACGCATGGCATAATAGTGTTATCGCTCCAGAATATCAGTTGGATCAACTGACAAACCACTCACCATCTTGAGCCTTACGAACTACTGACATCATCTGCTCATCTGACCCGAAGCATAAACTGAAGTGTGGCCAAAGAGCGTATGCGTACACACCTGCAGTGCTTCGGAATAATTTGCCATTAAAGGTGAGACACTGCTCAGAACTCTTTCAATAACCATTTGAAGACCTTTCTGTTCAGAAAATACTTCAGTCTACAATGCAATTATACCTTTGTCTAAATTTGAATCTGTCTTTCAATTTGTGTATATCAGTTTTCCTTTGCAGCGCTGTCAACATACAAATAGTGTATGGAATTTAATGCGATAAAACATACTATTGACATCATCATCAATTATCATACACGTTTTACAGGTAATTAATCAAATTAAGTTCAAATCAACCCTGACCAAATTTAATCTGTGTCCTTTGCTTCCTGTGTCTTGGCGTACTGGAACAAGAATTTTTATGTGAACACATAAATAATGTGTTAATCCCCGTCCATTCTGATTAAAAGAATAATCATAATGTATTTCTGAAATTGCTTTAAATGTGCTCGTGCCTTATGCTAGCCATTTATCACCTCTATTTGGTTTGGTATACAAAGCTTAACAGAATGTATTGGATTATAAAACCTAGACAGTGACGCCACATCATATGTAGCTGTTGCACAAAACCTCGGTTGCTATCTGGCGGCCATTACGATTCCAGCTGCTCTGTGTCCTTGCTGAGAGCTGTCCTTTTTCTGTCATTAATGGGATTTCTTTCTCTTGTGCTATCTAAACAGCTTATTTTGGCACCCTGATGCGCAGAAAACAGACAAATCCTGGTAATTTGAAAAGAAGTCGTGCCTGCCTCGAAAAATATCCAAACGTGTTAGTGTTTGGATTCCACCGTGCGAAAAGAAGGAGTGGACCACAACCCTTAGATTGGTGCCAGCGATTCCTTTATGTCAACATATTGGTTTTTGGCGGAATTGATTTTAGATATTTCAGGCGAAAGAATTTGCTGCAAGCGCTCTTGAAATGAACATGCAATTTGGTGAGGTCATTAGAATTTCAATTTCAAGTATGTTTTTTATGCGTGCATGTGGTTTTACCTTCATTGAGAAAGGTTATCTAAAAAGTCCTTGCACTGATGTCAAGATTGTTAAGTTTTCAGCAACAATAAACCTCTGAATCTCTCCGAACGTTTAACTTAGTTTGTAAAGCTCTCACCCGCGGGCATTTAAAAGACTAGGAATATCGAATTGTCCGTTTTAACAATTTGTTTTGGATCTGGGATTTCCAATAAATATGTATTGCAGAAAAAAACGTTCAGAATGAACAATACGAGTCAGTTGGTTTTAACGGCGATTTAAACAGTATTCCAGTAATATGGCTGCGTGTCAGATTAATGCGGTAGGAAAGCCCGAGGTAATGGAGGTGTGCGACGTTTACCACCTCGGTGGACAAATGACACAGGTTAACAAGTACTTAGATTTCTAGATTACATACTATTAAGACCAAGAACCTTGATTTCCGGTCACGGGGATGTAGGGTCACGTGCTTACGGGAAGTCCACATCGTATGGACGGGCAATTGGTCGAAAAGTACATTAGCGAGTATTGACTAGAAATCCATTGAAGCAATTTCTGATTGAATTTTAAACGAACCTCATTTCAGCTTGAATTTTGCCCCCAGATGCATTCCTTGTGTCCTAATTATATCAACTGCAAAATGAATGCGAATAAGGATGCCTACATTACTTAACAAGCCATCTTTGTCATAAACCTTGCCATTTAGTTTATGAAGTAATTTCGAAGACCTGTCTTCAACATGTATGGTATACTGAAAAATGTATGTTTGCTTTATAGAGTATAGTCCGTTTGGCTCAAAATCGTTAAAATCTTGACAACGTTCACTGTTTGTTACGAGGGAGGGGTGCAAAGAGAGGAACAGCCAAGTGTGCGAGAAAGGATGGAGACAGCACAGCACAGGTAAATGATTCAATAACTTTGTCGGCACTTGTGCACGTGCTCCGCGCACACCTGGCTGTTCTTCTCTTTGGAGTCCTCCCTCGTAACAAATAGAGAACGTTGTCAAGATTTTAATGATAGTTTGTTAAACAACTTTTTAATTTTTAGGATATAAAATACATGTTGCCTGCTGTGGTCTGGTTTGGTTGTTGTTGTTTTACGCCGCATTCAGTGGTATTTCAGCTATATGGCGACGGCCTGTAAATCAATCCAGTGATCAATGTCATGAGCATCGATCTACGGACTTGGGATTCGACGATATGTGTCAAACACGTCAGAGAGCCTGACCACCTGATCCCGTTAGTCGCCTCTTTGGACAAGCATGGGTTAACTGAAGATCAATTCTAACCCGGATCTTCACCGGTCACATGTTGCCTGAACCGCCCCCATGACCAAGAGGATAGAGCATCTGTCATGAAAGCAGGAGGTGGAAAGTTCCATGTCCGGTCGCGTTCAAATGACGTTGGTTCTTGCTGTCAACCGTCCCTGGCTGGATTGGTGTGACATAGTACCCCTAAGCAGTGTGCGAAATAGTTTCCAAATTTTGCCAGCCACTCGGGATAGCTATGCCTGAAAGTTACTAGCCCACAAAATAATTCACTAGCCCGAAATTTGAATGAAGAAACTAAGCAAAAGATTACAAAAAGAGATGAGAATAAGATATTGTCGGCATGCCACGGGTTTCATCATTAAGCTGCAAATATGATGAACATTTTTATCAGGTCATTATATTGTATGATTTAAAAATCGGAGAGAGTGACATATTTACAAAATGACCCCATGAAAATTCACTAGCCAGTCGGGCCAGTGACTGTGGAGATTTACTGGCCCGAATGGAATTTTACTAGCCATGGGCTAGCGGACCAGTGGCTATTTCGTACACTGCCCCTAAGACAAACAAACAACTATTGTATTCTGCTCAGGACATGGTCCCAAATTACTGACCGATCATTGAAGACTGGTCGGATCGGAGTCGAGCTTAGAGTATACTGTGTCTGAGTAGGGATATCCAACTGCGGCTACTTATGCAAGTATAGCATAGGTCCGGACTAGTACAAACACGCACACACACAGAAACACAGACATGGCTACACAAGTGCAATAATCTTAAACACGATCTTAAACCCCATTTCACTTCACATCACCTCACCTCGTCTCATTCACTGTTCATTGATCCTTTGAAACCTTTCCAGGCCCGTTGTAACCTTGTTAATATTTTATGACCATGTTGCGTATTGGTATTTGCAGTTATATTAGAACTATGAACTAGCCTTCACGAACATGCAATCTGAGCTGTGGTAGGCTTGCAGTTACAGTGTTCGCTCGTCGCGTCTGATTCATTCCCTATGTATGCATACTGTATGAAACAAAGTTCTGGTGTTCCGTATCCTTCTATGTCTGTAATACATGTATTGCTAAAAGCAGCGACAAAAACATACACATTCATTTACATGTAAAAATTACGAAAAAGTTAATGGAAGATTTTAAAGAAATTTTCGTCTCACAGGAAGAAGTCAAGGCTGAAATATTGCCTACCAGACTTTTAACTCAGCCTGTCTAAGAACGAAAAAAACAAGCATAAAAAAACCCCAAAAAACCCAAGTATTTCATGATAAAACCCCACATTCTTGAAACTACATTCAAGACAGCTTACCTATATTGCTCTTGAAGACTCGAATAAACGCCTCCCTGTATGTCTTGATTCCGTCGATCACGTGGAAGACGAGACTTCGCGAGATGACGTCAGCAAAATCATGCATGACCTTCATAAGGTTATCCCCCTCAACACCAGAAGGCTGTGTAGCGTTCCAGCCTTTCTCATTTTTAGAGTTGAGGAGATTGTCTACGACTGAGGCCAGTATCTAGATAAATTTAAATGACAAAATTTTACACATAGACTGTAACTGGTTCTTCAGTTTTAAAGATTACTACGAGTATTTGTGTTTTTGAAAAATGAATTCGGGAACAAATTACTTGTCATTTATATTCTACCTCACCCCACGAGATGTCCCAGAAGAGGAAGCCGTTCTCATCAAGGAGTTAGCTATGTCCACAACGAAGCCAGCGCGTTTCGTTATCACCCACTGTGAAGACGTATGCATTACAGAATACGTTTTTCATGTGAAGTCGCTGCCAACATCGCACTAATGTTAGTCAGCTCTCATTACAAGTTTGGGTCGCTGCCGATCTGTTCTCCCAGAACCCTCCAGGGGAACAGTTTAACGATATACAGACAGATACATTTATAGATGTTCGGTAACATATTGAAGTTAATTCCTGTATAATTTTCATTCTGAATGAAACGAAAATTGTAAATTGTTCAGAGGGCAGTGTGTCCTTCGAGCCAAATCATTTCTCATTTAGGTGCCGTGTTCTTTTGACTGCCAAGTTAAAATAGGGCGTCAGACCTCCACTGGGAACTTCCAGAATACATCATGAGGTTTGTGTGTTGAAATGATGCTTGAGCAGCATCAGAAAATGGTATGGGCGCCGTTTGACAGTTTATCATTAATAACCCGCGAGGTTGTGTCCACTGGTATTTTGCTCTCGATCTGTATGGGAGAGTATTGGATAGTCGAAAATCTCGCACTGGCTGTATTGGTGTAACATCGTACTCCTACGACTTACAACCAACTAACGTCTCCTGCTAAGGACAAGGTTACAAGGTACTGGCTGACTTAGATGACATATGCACCTTTCAAAACAAGTTAAAAATTCCCGATTCTTTCTTTCACATTATTAAGATGGTTAATGTGTCATGGCATTAAAAAGTAACTATCGTACTAAGAAAAATTCGGGTATCATGACAGACGTAATAAGAAACAGTCAGGTGGCA